TCTTATCATTCCATCTCTCCATTTATCTTAACCTTCCAAAACCCTGTCTTCATACTCATGGAGTTATCCATTCTCCCAGGTTATCTAACCCCTGCTCTAAATGAACTATCCTCCCTTCCCAGTCTTAAACCTACAGTTGACTAGTTTTCTTGCCTCTTTTCTCTCCTGAAGCTTACTCCTTGTCAAACCTCAATCCTGGATTACTGCTACCATCTTCCTTCTCTGCTCCTGAAGAAAATCATGTAACCAAGTCCACAGAGTCTACCATAAATTTCTTATCTGATTTCAACTGAGCCCTCACCTCAACAAGACAATCCTTTTACTCATCCCTAATTAATTCTCTGTCCACTTCCCAAAGGGGCCATTCCAAGCCTTACACATGATTTCTACTCCCTTTGTGAGACAAATGTCAGATGAAAACATTGCCTCATACTTTACTGAGAAAATAGAGATATTCACCATGAGTAGCCTGTTCTCTCCCGTACATCTCAAAACCCTTGCAAGATCCCCCATCTTCTCTTCCTTGACTCCAGTATCTTCTTGCCAAGACCAACTCCTCTACAAGGGTTCTTGATCTCATCCCCTCCTGTCCTCCCTAGCAAATTGTCCCTCTCCCCCCAGTCGTGCCTCTTTTCAAATCTTCAATCTATATCTACTGTTTCCTTTCCTACTATGTGCAAATACGTTTATGGGTCACCCAGTCTGAAAAAAAAAACCCTCATTAGAAACTATCAACCAGGGCAGCTCAATGGCACAGTGAATAGAGAACCAGCCCTGGAGTCGGGAGGACCTGAGTTCAAATTTGGCCTCAGACACTTGACACACACTAGCTATGTGACCCTGGGTAAGTCACTTAACCCCAGCTGCCTCACCAAAAAAAAAAAAAAAAGAAACTATCAACCCCTCAAATTATCATCCCATATCTCTTCCTTTCAAAGCCATTCCCTATCAACCACTTGTTAGTCTGGCTTCTGATTTCATCATTCAACTGAAAATGCTCTCTCCAAAGTTACTAATAATCTTTAACCTGACTTTAGGTCAGAAAGACTTGGGGGGGGGGCTAACTACTAGACATATGAACCTTGACTTCCAAGCTTCATTTGGAAAAAGGAGTTATGGATAAGAATATGCCTGAAGGGACTTGAAAACATAATCAGCTGATTAGTTAAGCAGGGAGAGACTATTAGAGGATCTGGACTAATCCTGGTACAGTACTATGGGAGGGCCAGCACCAAGGATCCATGATTCTGAAGTGATAAAAGCTCGCCCAAGAGATGGGATGGAACCAGGATACCCTTTTTGTTCATTCATTTTCAGTAATGTCCAACCCTTTATGACCCCATTTGGGGTTTTCTCAGCAAAGATACTGGAGTCATTTGCCATTTCTTCTCTAGCTCATTTTACAAATGAGGAAACTGAGGCAAACAGGGTTAAGTGACTTGCCCAGGGTCACACAGCTAGTAAGCCTCTGAGGCCAGATTTGAACTCCAGAAGATGAGTCTTCTTGACTTCAGGCCTGGCAGTCTATTCCCTACTCCACCTAGCTGCCCAGAGTACCCTACTACCCCCTAAAAGAGACACTTTTCCCCCCTTCTGGTTAGCAAGAAGTGGGGTTCCTTATCTATTACTTTTAATTTAGATCTCATTTACCTACTATAAAACCCTGTCAGCAAATAGAAATGTTAAACTGTGTGTATTTAATTCAAGGCTTTCAGACTGAGAGAAAGCAACATTGGCCTCCTTACTGTTCTTCACATAAGACACTCCATCTCCCTGTGGGCAATTTTTATGGCTGTCCCTAATGCCTAAAATTCTCTCTTTCCTCATCTCCATTTCCTGGACTCCCTGGCTGTCTTCACTTCTCAAATAAAATCTCACCTTCTACAAGAAGCCTGTCCTAATCCCCTTAATTCTAGTACCTTCCCTCTGTGATTATCTCCCATTTATCCTTTACATACCTTGTTTGTATATGTTCATATGTTTACAAGTCTTCTCCCCCTGGAGTGTTAACACTGATTAGAACCAACTCCAGATTACTGGCAGGATACTGCAAACAAGCTGGGGCCCAATACCTTCATACTTCAACTACTGGGACAACTTGTGCTGAAGTCCACATGAGGTTAGAGATGAGTAAGAGCCATTAATATCAGTAGAGTACCAGCCTCCCAAACTTACAAGTGGATCCCAAGTAACTATTTTGTTGATTTCTCCAGTACCAGAAGAATGGAGTGAGTAAATGATGCAAAAGTTCACCAAGAAGATAAGCATGGTCTCGGTATGAGTGGGAAGTGGAATGTGCCCAAGGAGCGAATCACAGGATTCAACTCACCTACTCCCTGTCTAGGAACAGTCTAGGAAGTTTCTTTTTATCTATGGTGGAAGATCTCAGAAACTACCTTAAAGAACAATTAGTCATGTGATCCTGGGCAAGTCACTTAACCCCAACTGTCTCATTAAAAAAAAAAAAGAATAGTTAGTCAACAGCATCATCATGGATCACAGAAGCTCATATCTATCATCCATAGTGGTGGTATGGAAGGTCAATGGAGACATAAATGTATAGCCTACTAGATGTTGAGCAAAACAACCAAAGTACACTATGCCAAGAGCGCAAGATATCCTGGACTGTCTTTTAGTCAGCCAGTGGCTTTTAGTGTTGGACTTACACAGTGGCTACTACCAGACATCTATGCAGAGGGAAACAAAGATTCCTTTCATCTGTCCAGTTGGATTTCCAGTTTAAGTAGATGCTTCCAGGCATCACATGTTCACCTGCCATGTTCTAGTGACTGAAGGAGAAAGGATTTGGACATAGGTACTACCTGAAAGTGTTGATGTGCCGTGATAACCTTATTTTCCCTAGGAAGACACTAGAAGAACATGAGGAGAAACTAATGAAAATCTAGGATTGGCTAGAGGAAAATGCTGTACTATTCCTTGCTGAGGACATTGAGGGATACCACTACATTGATGACATAACAATAACTAGGTCAGATGAGGCCCTGGAGGCAGAGGCACTAGATTGGATGGGGGTTCATATGAGGGACAAAGGGTGGGAAATCAACCCTAATAAAATCCAGAGTCCAGCATGAAGAGTCAAGTTTTGGGGAACACACTAGGTGGAAAGCCCATGTTTTTGGAGATTTCTGCTCATTAAAGGCCAGGCTAAGTGGAACCTTAGGCAGGCTCCAAGGAGTGGCCAGAATAAATGACCATTAGGCTTCTGGATTTGCAAGTTCTCTAAAACTGCCACTCAATGTGCTTCTTTTAAAAAATCCTACTCAGTAAACCTGAACGGCTCCCTATTGCCTCTAGGATCAAATATTGAGTTCCTCTGAGCTTTTAAAATATTTTAAGATATGCGCAACCTACCTTTCTAATTCCCTGAATGCTAAAGCACAAACAAACGGACCTGACTGCTGTTCTTCACACAAAATATCCCAGATCCTGCCTCCATGCCTTTGCAGCGCCTGTCCCCTACGCCTGAAATGCACTCCCACCTCAAGTCGACCTCTTCAAACCCCTTTTATCCTTTTAAATTCTGCTGAATTGACACCTTCTACATGTAGCCTTTCCTGCTCCCCCAGCCGCTAGTGCTGCTCTCCTCAATTTAACTTCTATTTATTTTGTACAAACTTATTTACATCAATGTTGCTTCCCCACATAGAACGGAATGTCCTTGGGGGTAAGATCTGTTTCCTTTCGGTCTTTGTATCTCCCATTGCATAGCACAGTTCCTACCACACAGCAGACACTTAATAATTGTGTGATGATTGACTGTAATTAGAATTTGTCTGTCCTCCAAGTGCTGATGCGGAGGCAGCGGCAGCATGTCATAATGTCGAGAATGCTAGGTTAGGAGTCACGGAGCCTAGGTTCTAATTCTGCCTTTGCTAAGTCTCTCTCCACACTAACTGTGTGACCCTAAACAAGTCACTCTTTAAGCTTTGTATTTCCTCATCTACAAATTGGGAATAACACCTTATCCTTGCCTGCCTCACAGGACTGTTGTGAGGATCAAATGAGAAAATCATCATCAGCTGTACAGTAGCAGGCTACTACCATGAACAGAATGGGAGGCACCAGAAATAGGACAAGTAAGAAGACTTCCTAGGGGATGGTGTTAAGAGGAGAACTGCCCCCAAGAAAAGGCAATGAAAATAAACCAAGGAGCATTCTGTTTAAAAACAGACCTTGGAGTGGACCTAGCTGGGATAAGAGCTTGGTGAGGCTTAAAAATCGTGCCCCACGTGCATGTGCCCCATGCAAGACATGGCTTTTCTCGGTCACTAGAATGTGAGCTCCTTGAGAGAGGGGACAATCTTACTTTCCTGTTTGCATCCCCATTACTTAACACAGTACTCTATACATGGTAAGAACTTAAAAAACACTATATTCATCCATTCATCCATAAGGTTTGAGCACTCACTATAACACATGGGACTTGACTTCTCATAAAATAAATACCTACATGTCATTGAGAAGAAAACCTTTGGCATTAAAAATTGGGCCATTTGCTTTAAAAAATAATGTTCAAAAGTTCTCTGTGTCTCTCATGTGCCATCCTTCTTCCTCCCGGGACACACAGGATTTTGTCCCAAGTGGCTATTTACCTTACATATCCCTAGTCCCAGTTCTCTCTGAGAGTGACTATTCCACCATGAGGAGGCTCTATCTATAAGTAATAATAACTGCTCACGTTTACATAGATCTTGGAGACTTAAAAGACCTTCCTCACAACAATGCTCTGACATAGATAAAACAAATCTTAGTACAATTATCCCCACTTTTACAGATTGGAAAAAAAACACCAAGACTCATAGAGGTTATCACTTGTCAATGGTTGTATGGTTATTAAATATCTTGGCTAATCCCTAATCCACATCTTCTAGTTTCAGGTCCAATGTTCTCCCCATGACATCGTGCTAACTTCATCTATATATCTAACTCATAAAGTGTTACATCAATCACTTCAATACATATGAGTTGTAATTAATTACCTCAGAATGTATCTTTTCAAAATCATCGATTGTTTTCAAGCCTTGTGCTCGATTGTCTTGAAGGGCCTCTTCAAGACATTCATAGAAGAGGGCAACTTCTGCTTTTCTCTTTTCTTGCTGTATCAAGCCATAGTCAAACAGGCTCTGGCAAACTGCAATGAATTTGGTTTTGTATGTGAATTTAAAGTTAAGGAACCTCGCATTAACCTCAGAATCCTCTTTAAAAGAGGATTATTAAAATATATAATTATATATTTTATTATATATTGTATTATTATATATTATATTTATTATTTATATTGCATATTATATAATTCTATAAAATATATAATTATATATAATCAGATATTTTATGAATTTCGGTTCCAGTGCCTTGAAATGATTTTATATGGCTTTATTTTAAGGGGAAGGACAGGATGTGGAGACCTGGAAGTATTGTAAGAAGTTATTTCACTGGCAAGTATGTAATTCATAAGTCTTTTTCTATTGCTGATTAATTTGATTCCACTATATTTGTGTGAATACATCAAGGAATACACTATGTTAAGCTTACACTGGACTAAAATTTACATGGCTATTGGTAAAAATGCAGAAACAATAAAGCATTTTATTGCTCTCCTTGATGTATAAACCAAGGATCAGAAAAATGAGGACCAGGCAGGTGTTTATGCACCTCCCATCATTATCTTTCTGAGAAATATTGATCTGATCCAACCTTCCACATCCTGTAGACATCCTTTCTATAACATCCCCTATAGGTGGTCTTCTTTGCTCTGCTTGAACACTTCCATCAGATTCAGGTAGATAGCTGGGTATTCTCAGAGTCAGGAAGTTAAATTTTTATGTCCCACCCCTGAAATCCTTTCTAAGTCTAACCTTCTGTTTGTCAGTTAAGTAACTTGTTCTTATTTCCACCATGAAAAGGAAAATAATTGATTACTTTTCTACTTGTGCTAAACTTGTCTTCTGTTTGCAAATGATAAGCACACGCATTCAAGCTGGTATTTTTCCATGACTGCGTATGTAAACACACTTGTGAAAACTGCCTTGACTAATCTAGTAGAGACGTGCAGCTTTGCACCAATATTAAATTTGAGAACCCCAAAAGTTTGCCAAAGCTCCATCCACCGAAGTTAGACAATATGAATAGTGATTTTCAGCAAAATGAAGCCTTGAAGATTTGTGTGTGTTTATTTGTTAGTATTTTTTTTTTAAAGCAGAAAAAGGATATGTCTCCAGTAGTTCTGGAACTCCTGGTAAATAAGCTAGCTTGGCAGCCTCAACATCCTCTAAATAAAGGCTGTCAAACAGATAAGGACCATTCAGGTATTCAACGTAAGCAGCCTGTGAAGGAAAACATGGCAACCAAGAGTGATTCCAAGTTCCCATTCCATAACTACCCTGAGTTAATCCTAGTGGGCAAGCTGACTAAACAGAAAGGGGGTGGGAATGCTCCTGTCAGGAGCTCCATGAGACTATGCAAATACACAAGGACTTCTATTCTCAACTAAGAAAACAAATTTCATGGATCCCATTTTTTTTTTTTCACTTAATGTGATCCTCACAGGAAATCATCTTACTGGAAAAAGTAGAAGTCATTCTCTTGGCTGCTTTATTCCCCCAAAGGTTAAAAATCATCAGTAGAACTCATTAGGAGAGGGAGGGTACCTTATGTTTTTCCAGCTCTGCTATATTTGCCTGCTCCTCTTCAAGTTTGCTCTGGATCTGATTCTCCCAATGCTTCAGTTCATAAATACTGTACTGATATTTTGTACCACCAAGTTCTCTCTGTTAAATAAAAAGAAAGGGTTTCCATTATTGGGTATCGCCCTAGGTATAAAATAAGTTATATTTGGAAAACGCACCCGTGGCACTCCAAGACATGGCTTCTGAAACTGTTACGTGGTTTAAGATTGCACAAAAAACTTCATAAAGGGAACTGCTGTTTCCATGATATTATTGTTTTTTAAATTATTTTTGGTTTATATGAAGCTATCATTTTTTGAACAAAGCCTCTTTCTCATCTTTTGTTCCCAAAGTACACTCTCATCTTCACCCTATAGTGATCCATTTGTTCCTGAGTGTGGTAAAGGACCTAGCTAGTAAAAGAACAGTATAAATACTGCCACTTCTAAACAGAAAATACATTTTCTATTTGTTTATGACTTGGATAAAGAATAACAGGAAAAGGTAAGAGGTAAATTACAAACTATACAAATTATGTTATGTTATATTATTTTACATTATAGTACATTATATTATATTACTAAAATTACAAACTATACTTACAAACTATATTTTCTAGTATACCAGTTTGGTTCTACCCCCATCCCAATAAATCACAGAAGTCTGCCACTTAGATTGAATCAATCACAAGTATAAACTACATGTGAACAAACACACAATCAATTTGAGAAGATAAAAGTGCTTTAATGATTGAAGACTGATGATGCCACACAGGAAATATTTTGTGACTGGCTATAAAAATCAAACACACTTCTGGGCTGGCATATAAAAATAAATTAGTCCAGCAGTAAGCTCAAAAAGCAGCTGTCCTAGTCTACTGGTAGAAGAACTTTGGTTTGGAGAATTGTTCTTGTATGGAGAGAGTTCTTCCTCTCTCCTTATTCTACCCCACTGACCATGTTATTACAGAGACTGAATAAGTATAGGACCGTACATCTTCCCAGGAGCAGAGAAAGACACGCTGTGGATAAGCATAGTTGCAGAAAGCCAGAAGAAGCATCTTCAAGGAGCACAACCCTCTGTACCAGAGAAGAATGCAAACTCTGGCTGAAGAAAAGACTCCCAGTTCCTAAAGTACTAGGAGTTGTGGCAGTGATTGGATTCATATAGGAGTTGTACTTACCTATTAATATGTTGTTTCCCCCCATGCCAGCAGAATGTAAAGTCTGAGGGTAGGAACTGTTTTTCAGAAAATTTTAAATGATATGTACAGAAGATGGAAAAAAGGTCATGAACCTAAAAGTGATTATGATTATTTAGAAAGGAAAAAGCACTAATAGCAAGGAAAATTCAATTCAATTCAACACCCTGATTTCCCCACACCTTGATTTTCAAACTCTGACAAATCACACATATTTACATATTCTTAAGTATTAGCTACTTAACAGTTAAGTGTTTTTATATAGCAAAAATCCCACTGCTTAATAAAGAAAGGGGAAACTAACCAACAGGGTGCTGGATTTGGAATGAGAGGCCCTGGGTCCAAATCCCAACTCTGTGACTTCATTCCCCTGGGTGACCTTGAACAAGTCATTTAACCTTTGAGGCCTCACCAATAAAATGAGGGGTTTGTACTTGATAGTCTCTAGGGTCAATCCCAAATTTAACTCTTTGATAAGAACTAATCATAGGCTCTGAAAGAGAAAATGAGAGTGGTATTATAGGAAGAAAATAAAGAGGAAGGTGGGTATGAATGCTCCACTTTGTGGCTAGTAAAGCAAAACAGTCTTTTGTTTCTATAGCAATAGACTCTAGGGTTACTCTTCCAAGCCCCACTAATACTGGCAGGAAGACTAGAGAAGTAGCCCTAGCTACCTCTCCCCTCACAGTCCTAGGCAACCCCGAAAGGCTGGAGTTTTCTTTCTAATTCTATCGCTTATGAGCCCCCACTAGGGTGCTTCCCCTCAATGATTATCAGTTGATTACATTTAGTTAGTCAGATTTAATTAGCTCTTAGAAAGAGGACATTTACTAAAGTAAAAAGGTAAGAACAATTGCCATGAAACATCCCTCCAAAAATCTGTGACACACTGTCCCACAGATACATATAGAGCCCAAAGGAAAGTGGGCTAAAGCTTACAGCACATGTTACAACAGGGTAACTCACAGGTCCAACTCGCAGTTGGATAATCGAGTAGATAGAGTGAAGGCCTGGAGTCAGGAAAACTCATCTTCCTGAGTTCAAATCTGGCCTCAGACACTTATTAGCTGTGTGATCCTAGGCAAGTCACTTAACCCCATTTGCCCCAGTTTCCTCTTCTGTAAAATGAGCTAGGAGAAGGAAATGGCAAACCACTCCAGTATCTTTGCCAAGAAAATCCCAAATGGGGTCACAAAAAGTCAGAAATGACTGAAAGGACTGAATAACAACAACAAAAAATCCTCACAGGTCCTGGGAGTCATTTTCTCTCTTTTGCATAGCCCTTATTAAATTTTCCTCAGGCACAATATAAGTTTTGGTAGACTCCTTGTAGAGTCATAAAGCTGCCTTTCCTCAGTGTGTCTAGAAATTTCCTCCACACTCAATGCAGACAGACACTGCCAGTCACTGCCATTCCTAGGATACTGCTAGTATATCAGCATGAAGTCCAAATACTGTGGTTTTCCACAGTTCACAAACTGTCTTCTTATTAAGGTAGTAAGGGCGAGTAGGAGTGGAGACAGAGGATTTACTCCTCCCCCACCACCCCTTTCCAGGGATGCTCAGATGGAATTACTCTCTCCTTTAAACTGTAAGACACTCAAATGGTTGTGTTCTTCGCTAGCTATTTTATACAAAAGACACAGGGCATGACCGAGTGTATATTAATAGAGTTACTTCAATTGACTGATTCAACAGAAGTGTTTTCATTTGATAAAAATAGTTGCTTTAAGCAATCAACCTCCACCCTAACACTTTGCTTTGTTTTGGCTTACTTCACACAGGCAATGTGCAAACTAAGAAAGATGACCTCCAAGCCACCTCTTTCTTGAGGACTGATTAATGTCCCGGTCTCTATTTCTCACAGAGAGAACAATGAAAGGAAAAGGCGCTTGCCGTGTGTGCATCAATGAGCCTGAAGTCCAGGTAGACTAGATCAGGAAGGTAGGCAGTGACAAACAACTTATAATCTTCTTCCTCACAGATGGGATTTCCAGCAAGGTTGAGTGAACGTAAAAACTTGAATCTCCTCAAATAGATGACCTGTTTCAAATGTTAAAAGAATCAATTTCAGTATATTACATGTAGGGCCAAGAATAAATTCTAAAATAAAATTTTCAATTTTTTTTCCTTTCTCATCATGATTTTCATGCAAGATCTTGAAATTTACACCCTTCGAGTGTTAGAATCTGTTTTTTATTATTTAAGATATTACTTTATTTGAAGTAGCCAATCTGTGGCCTGATGCTGTCCCTTTCCAGGAAGCTTGCACAGCAGGTGCTCAGTAAATGTTGTTGACTTGAACTGAATCGAATGAAAATTTCTACCAGTCACTCACATTCAGATTTTAAAGTTTGTCAACAACCCAAACAACATATACTCTGTAGAATTCTATAATAAAACTTTGATGAACTAAAACAAAAATAACCGGAACACTCAGAGTCACAGATTTTGAGAGCTGAAAGGGCCATCGAGTTTGTGGCCAGACAGGAAGATTTTGCACAAAAGCCCCAATAAGAGACCATCCAACCTCTACTTGACCTCCAGCGAGGGGAAGCCACTTCTTGAGGAAGTCAGTTCCGCTTCAGGCCAGTTCTGATTGTCAGGAAGTCTTTCTTTAAATTAAAGTTTTCTAGACCTAGTTTTCTAAGACCTAGAGAAGCCCAGATTCCTCTCACAAACATGTCCAATGAAACCTAAAATACACAATTAACCAGCAAAATAGGAAGCACCACCTGTAGACTCAGGTCTCTTTACTCAGATCAGGGATGCATAGACGGAGCTCCAGAATCCTGCTGGTACAAAGTAGCCCCAAGGTATCAGGAAAGGGAGGCCTTAGGATGGAGTCAAAATGGCAGGATGGAGTCAAAAGCAATGTCAAAAATAGAGTGACAGAAAGCACTGTTGTCTAGTTCAATCAGTACAAGTCCTCCCTAACAACCTAGAAAATGCACCAGACCAAATTCTGATTGAAAAGCCATGCATCACAGTGAGTCATTTTTCCAACCCAGAGTAACTTAAGAGGTCAGAGAGGTCTGCCGACACTGGGGTTGGGGTTGGCCAGGAAGGCAGCACAGAGGCAGAGGCAGAGGCAGCACATAGCTGGAGCATTCTAACACCCAGGGACTTAGCACCAGCCCAGGAAGCCCTGGGGCAGAAAGAGATCCCAGGAAACTGTGAACTAGCACTGGGAGCAGCAACAGGTACCATCTGGTAGCTCTGTCACCTATTACCCAGTTCCAGGTCACAGATACGGGGTAGAGAGAAGTGGTCAGCAGTGAGTGGGGACCCTAGCTGTGTACTAAGCAAGGAACAAATTAAAGAGATGTAGTTGTGTGGCTCTCAGTTCAGGAGCAGAGTAGCGACCCAGTTCTAACCTTTGGCCCAGCACATAAGCCTGCAATGGAATAACCAGGGCAAGAACGTCCCAAACCAAAGGAGAACCAGCAGTTCAATCACTCTGTACCTACAGAACCTTCTGTGAGCTAACAGTAACTGTGTCCAGCATCAGTCTACTGAAACTCAACCATACACAAGGCAACAGACCCAAACCTGGGTCAGGAACTTTCAGAGCTCAGACCAGAAGAGCAGTGAACAGGCCTCTCCCCACATTACACCACTCTGAGAGCATTGAAAACTCAGAGGCCCCAAGATGGAGCTGCGAAGGCAGTAGAAGGACATAAAAAGAGAGAAGCTCAGGTTAGACATCCCTCCCAGAAGTGCACAGAACCCCAGCACTAACATAAAGTCCAAAGTCAAAAAAAAATAGGCTGGAAGAATGAGCAAACAAAAAAAGAACGTGACCATAAGAAGTGGCTATGTTAACATGAGGTTCAAGATAGAAACACAGAAGAAAACAATGACTTAAAAACATCTACAAGTCAAACCTCAAAAAAAAAATGTAGACCAGACACAAACACAATAAGGATTCCTAGAAGAGTTTAAAAAAAGAGATAAAATTATTTTTTAAACCAAATAAGAGATAGAAAACCTCACTGAAGAAAGTAACTCCTTGAAAATTAAAACTGAACGAACGGAAGCTAATGACACCATGAGACATCAAGAAATAGGGAACAAAGTCAAAGGACTGAAAAAAAATGTAAACCATCTCATTTGAAAAACAACTGATCTGGAAAACAGATTGAAGAAAGATAATTTAAGAATCATTGTACAACTTGAGAGTCATGAACAAAAAAGAGGCTAGATATCATTTTTCAAGAAATTATAACGAAAAACTACTCAAATATCTTAGAACTAGAGGGCAAAGTAGACACTGAAAGAATCCAGTGGTCACCTCCTGAAAGAAACCCCCAAATGAAAACTCCCAGAAATATAACAATCAAAATCCAGAGATCCCAGGACAAGGAGAAAATACTCAAAGCAACCAGAAAGAATTCAAGTACTGCAGAGCCACAGTCAGGATCACAAAAGATTGAGCAGTCACTACAAAGAAAGGAAGAGCTTGGAATATGATCATTCTGAAATGCAAAAGATTTAGGATTACACCTAGGACTAACCTACCCAACAAAACTAAGTATAATCCTACAGGTGAAAAAAAAAAGATATTTAATGAAATAGAGGACTTTCAAGTATTCCTGAAGAAAAGATCAAGGCTAAATAGAAAATCTGACATTCAAAGTACAACTCAAGAGAAGCATAAAAAGGGAAAAAATGAATTAAAAAATTATGGAATTAAACAAGTTTAAGCTGTTTATGGAAAGATAATACATGTAACCCCTCAGAACTTCATCATCACTAGCAGTCTTAGAAAGAGTTTAATTAGACAAAAGGCCTAAGGTTGATCCTGTTATTTTTGGATGATATCAAAAGAAAAATGGAAGGGTGGGGAAAAGGAATGTGCTAGGAGAGGAGGGAAGGGAGAGGAAGAATTGGGAAAATTATCTCACATAACTGGGGCATTCAAGGAAGAGTTTATACAATGGAATGAGCAATGGGGGAGGGAGGAGGCAACATTTATACCTCACTCTATCTAAATTAGTTCAAAAAAGGATGGATACACATACACACACAGTTGGGCACAGAAATTAATCTTACTCAACAGGGAAGAAAGAGCAAAAGAGGTTAAAAAAGGGGTGGGGAGAATAATAGGGAGAGTAGATTAATGGAGGCAGCTGTCAGAAGCAAAACAGATTCTTGAAGAAAAGTGTGAAAAAGAGAAGGATAAGTATAATATAGTAGGATGGAGAGAAATACACAGTTAACAATCATAACTGTGAATATGAATGGGATGAACTCACAATGATCTTCCATAAAAAGGAAAAGTATATCAGAATGGATTACAAACCAGAATCCAACAATATGTTGTTTATAAGAAATACTCTTGAAACAGAAAAATATACATAGAGTTAAAATAAGGAGCAGGAGCATAATCTATTATGTTTCATCTGATGTAAAAATGGCAGATATGGCAATTATGATCTCTGACAAAGCAAAAGTAAAAACACACCTAAAAAAAGAGATAAACAAGGAAACTACATTTTACTAAAAGGTATCATAAACAATTAATTAATGGTAATACTGAATACATATGTACCAAATGGCATAGCATCTAAATTCTCAAATGAAAAGTTAAATTAATTATATTACTCCTCTAAGACCTAGATATATCTAACCATAAAATAAACAAGAAAGAAGTTAAGGAGATGAATAAAATATTAGAAAAGTTAGATATAATAGACCTTTGGAGAATATTGAATGGGAACAGATAAAAATATACCTATCTCTCTGCTGTGCATGGCATTTTCACAAAAATGGACCTTGAAGATAAAGAAATTCCATTTAAAATAATTGTAGACAATATAAAATTCTTGGGAGTCTACTTGCCAAGAAAAACCCAGGAACTGTATGAACACAATTACAAAACACTTTTCATACAAATAATCTAAACAACTGGAAAAATACCAATTGTTCATGGATAGGCTGAGCCAATATAATAAAAATGACAATTTTACCAAAATTAATTTACTTATTCAGTTCCATACTAATCAAACTACCAAAACTTATTTTATAGAGCTATGAAAAACAATAACAAAATTCATCTGGAAGAACAAAATGTCAAGCATATCAAGGGAACTAATGAAAAAAAAAGTGTGAAAGGTGACCTAGATATACCAGAGCTCATACAGCAGTAATCATCAAATCAATCTGGTACTGGCTAAGATACAGAGTAATAGATCAGTGAAATAGATTAGTATACAATACACTGTTGTAAATGACCATAGTAATCTAGTTTTGATAATCCAAAGACCCAAGCTTTGGGGAGAAGAACTCATTATTTGAAAAAGCTGCTGGGAAAACTGGAAAACAGTATGGCAGAAATTAGGTTTAGACCAATATCTTACACCATATACCAAGAGAAGGTCAAAAGGGTACATGATGTAAACATAAAGGGTGATACCATAAACAAATTAGAAGAGCAAGGAATAATTTACATGTTAGATTTATGGAGAAGGGAAGAATTTGTGACCAACAAGATAGATCATTATGAGATATAAATGAATAATTCTGATTGTATTAAAAATTTAAATACATAATATTTTATTTTCCCCCAATTACATGTTAAAATAATATTTTTAATATTTGGGTTTTTTTAAAGTTATGGGTTCTAAATACTATCCTTCCCTCCCTCCGTCCTCCCTGAGACAATAGGCATTTATTACATAAAATTTAAAAGTTTTTGCATAAACAAACCCAATGCATCCAAAATTTGAAGGAAAGCAGAAAGCTGGGGAAAAAACTTCTATAGCCAGTGTCTCTGAAAAAGGCCTCATTTCTCAAATATATAGACCACTGAGTCAAATTTATAAGAATACAAGTCATTCCCCAACTGATTAATGGTCATAAGATATGAACAGGCAGTTTTCAGATGAAGAAATCAAAGCTATCTAGATTTATATGGGAAAAAAGTTTTATATCACTATTGACTACAGAAATACAAATTAAAACAACTCTTGAGGTACCACATTACACCTATCAGATTTGCTAATATGACAGAAAAAGAAAATGATAAATGTTGGAGGGGA